GGAACATAAAATAGTGCTGATCTTTGCTTGCCTTCTTCGAGATCAGAAATATAGGCGAGTGGACTTGAGATTTGGAGAATACTGGCTAGGTAACAGTGCCAACTTATCTTTGGAAAGCAAAGCAAAATCCTCCTCTGTGATTTAGTTTCCTCCTTGTTCTCTGCATGTAGTCTGACAGACACATGTGGAAAATGGAAATACCAAGATGCCTACACAACTAATGACATTGGTTATGAAATCACTGAATCCCAACCCAGTGTGTGATAGGCTTGACTCTCTTCTTGTCTAAGAACAGCATGGATTTATTGTTTTAAATGACAATAAAGTATATAAAATGGTTCCATCTAAATGAACAGAGCAATGCAGACTCTGATACCTGGCATACGTTTTCTCAGCAGATATTCCATATTAAGTATTAAAAAATTGAAAAACTTGATCTCCTTTGTGCATAAAATAACACAGCATGTATGTCACAGATGCAACATTAGAGGAAACTTACTTGCAGACAAACAGCATGAAGTTTTATTCAGTAATGTTAATCACGTTTCTGAGTATGTGAACTTAATGAATTAGAAATGACACTTTTAAGCATTTACACAGGAAGCATTCAGTCTTGTCTATAGACCTGAAATGCACTCAGAAGTTAATCACTTAGCCTCTAACATCCTTTAAGATAATCATATCCATGTCAATGGGTATTAAAACCATGTTCCATCTAACTAGCTCAACTGTCCAGCCTTCACGGATGTTGTTGGGTGACTAGCAAGCCACCCCAGCCCCTACCCTAGTTTTCCTGCCCTTCAGTGGGGAGTGGTAACCCAAGAGAGAGGAGCCCACTATTTCCCCTCAGGCCACTCCCACTCCCAGATTATGCACTCTCCAGGTGGATCTGTGGTTGAATTTGACAGAACTAGCCCCCAGTGCCAGCTTCCACCAGCTGATGCTGCGGCTAAGCCCCAACAACCATCACCCACTCCAATTGTAGATTGCACCAGTAGGAATAATCAGCCCAGCCTGATTTTTCCCTGATCTGGTCCACGTGAGGTGCACAGGTGCTATCGCCCTGCCTAGTCCGGTCTGTCCCTCATGCCAACACACGTGCTCCAGTGGGAGTAGCTGTGCAGCAGGGGAACCACCCCTTATTCCCCTGCTGGCTCTGCCCCTCCGTTCCTGATTCTCATGCGTGCTGGTTGGGTGCTGCGGTCACATCTAGCACACGCAACCTCAACTTGGCATTCCATGTTGTGCACTGCTTTTGATGCGACTGAACCTGGCTCGGCCCACACTCTGCTCCAGTGTTCAGATTTGCCAGTGGATGACGTGAACTGATTCAGCCTGGTCGGCTTCCGACCCATGCCAAATGTATGCCAGTCAGACACTTTCCATGACCTCTTCTGGGCTGTTTCCATCCATGCTTCTTGTGCTTACTTGCCAGGTTTGTGTCCTGTCAGAGGAGTTGCCCAGGTTCCCCCATCAGAACCCATCCGAGTGCCAGGTTTTGCACATTGCGGTAGGTCCATGAGCCAGACTGGACTAGTCTGCCACACATACTGGCAAACCAGGGCAGGGGGCGGGCCTGGTGAGGGTTATAGTGGATCACTTCGACTAGGCTGCAGCTCCCACTGGTTTATGCAAAGGCCGAGTATGTGCTGGGCAGAACCAGGCTGGACTGCAACACCCATTGGTTCCAGTGGAAGACAGGGATGGAAACAGAACTAATCCAGCAATTGCAACCAGCTGATCCAGGCAATGGACTGTGCCGGGCCCTGTGCTTGCTAGTACATACAAGAAACTGGTCTGGGATCACCTCAGACAAAGTCACTTTGGGGATCCCCCCAATCGAGCTTCCGGACTCAGAACCCTAACTATCAAAAGACAGAGGACAGAACAAGTCAATCAACCACCTCAGCTATATATTGGCAGTGAAAAACTAGGCAAACGGAGACTCTATGATGGAATATGTCAATCAGTGGATTCTTAAACAGCCTCATCATGCTTGGAGTGGTGAGAGTGGCAGCAATTCAGAACTGTTGAACTATCAAAACCACTTGAGCAAGACCCTCGGAGCATACCCCACATCCGGGACCTGGGGTGGGTGGGAGACTGCATGGGGCTTCTCCCTTAAAATCCCCTTCTACATCAGATATATGAAGGAAACAATACGGAACTAATTGCCTTGCCCATCTTCCTATAGCACTTGAAGCTTTTTACCCTAATTATGGCAAGATTGCTAAAAAAAAAAAAAAAAGATAATCATATCCAGGATACCAAAACATGCAAAAGAGCATCTTGGACCATCATTGGAGAGATAGAAAAAGAGTTTCCCTCTGCTGGTTCACTCCCTAGATGTCATCCTCAAGCTGTATACTTCTCCCCTTAGACTATTACAGATCTACATGCACAAACTTCTCAGGACCTTCTCCCAGATATCTAGTTTGCAAATCAAGACCAACATGTCCCTCAATATAATCTGACTTGCCTCCAAAACCTGTTTCTAGATATACTCAATAAAACTCTTATTAGAGTTACATAGACTCTATTTTCTTTCTCAGTATTAGCCAGTGCAGTGGTGCAGCAAGCTAACTCTCTGCTGTAAGTGCTAGCATCCCATGTGGGTTCCAGTTGTGGTCCCAGCTGCTCCACTTCTGATCCAGCTCCCTGATTATGGCCTGGGAAAGCAGCAGAAGATGCCCCAAACCCTTGGAACCTTGCATCCACATGGGAGAAACAAAAGCAACTCCTGGTTCCTTGGGTTCAGGTCAGTTTGATTCTGGCTATTGCAACCATTTGGGGGTGTGAACCAGTAGATGAAGGGTTTTTTTCTCTCTTTATATGTAAAATCTTCCTTCCAAATAACAATAAATAAATCTTTTAAAACCTCAATGAGCAATCAGTATGAGGATAGTTAGCTGACAGCTCTGCCTTCAAACTACATTCAGAACATGAAAGCTTCTTATACTTGCAGTTTTATCACTTAGATCCAAGCAACTTCCCTTGTCTGGAAGATTTCAATGACCTCAATAATCTGAACCTTGACTCAGCCTCACTACATATTCCCATTCACAAAGCTCCCTAAGTGTATATATGTGTTAAAGTTTTCTCAATGAAGTCTAATGATGTCATTCTCTTAAAATTTCTTCTTTCCCTTAATCAATTCCTTTAGTCATGCTGGCTTGCTGGCTTGCCTCATGCGAAGCTGGCTTTTTCGATAACATCTGCTGTTTGATCTGTTTACAGTGTTCTTAACCTCATCTAGCCCCATGGATGACCTCTCCTAGTGTGGCTCTTCCATATATTTAATTTTAATTTTACTCGAAAACCACAGAGACAGAGAATGGACCAGATCAGAATTAATAGCCAGAAACCAGATCAAAATCTCCAACCTTAGAGGCCAACACCTGCTGCCTCTCATTAGGATGTTAGTTACACAACAGTAAATATGAGTTTGCTTTTCTTCCTATACCCCAGGGCCCTGTATTGCTAAGGCGATGAAATTATACAGACCGGTCCCAGACCATTTTACTCTGAGCTGCTTAAGACTTGAAATACCTTGAAACAAAAGAGGAGTACTGAAAACTGTCGAGAACAGTAGAGATTCAGTACACAAAGCTGTGGAACTTTCGGCTTTTTGCTGCCCCCAGACTTCATTTTTTTGAGAGCTGGAGCTTCACATTCACTCGTTTCACACGTTGTGCTTACTGCAATCATTACGTTACAGCAGTGTGCTGAAATCATCTTCTCTTTGTCTTTTCTCTTTGCAAATGTGACATTCCAATAAAAATAAATACATCTTTAAAAAAACACAAAAACATTCTCCTCCAACTTAAATTCTTATACACTATAAAGTTGCATAAACGATCACATTTTATTATGATCAAATTAGAAGAAACTAATATTTGTTTCAAATACAAAAGAATTAAACTCAGTTTTATATGGAAGAATTAAACTCAGTTATTCCATTTGTTTAAAATGTCTCTTTAAATAATAAACACTTATAAAGTATCATGAAACATGCAAAGAAACACTTAATCATAGTATTTCAGCAGGACTTGGTTGTTAACTTCATGACACAATCAGCTTTAGTAAACATGATTTTCCTCATTTCAGTTTACAGTGAGTGTCAACAATAATTGTTAAATTTAGATGCATTATTTTATCTTTTAAAATAAACAAGCAGAAACTGAGAAATAATTTGGACAAATTATTAAATAATCACACATTAATGGAATAGCACTATTTCATTTACATATTCACTATCAAGTCTTAAATGTTAAATATATTTTCTTAAATTGTCCTTGCAGGACAAGTCAATATAAATATGACTCAGCTAATTTCAATGGTACACAATTACTAAGAAGAGATATATATGCCTGTCTATATAAAATCAAGTGAAAAGAGAATGATGTAAAGCTAATCCTGTGCTAATTATGTCTCCTGTGGTGTCATAGTCTGAGGTCCCAGTTTAATGGAGAAAAAAGGCTGAAGAAAATGAAGGCTCAGAAACAACACACTTAAACTTAAAAAGTAAGCATTTTTAACAAAAGGAACAATCTGATTATTCTATCTCCATAAGAAACAACATGTGACTTTTAAATATATGCTTTTGTTTGGCAGAAAATCCACTGACCCACAGCTATTTTCAATATATTTGTAGCTGAGTATTTTATATGACAATTTAGGAAGGGCAATTCCAGGTTTGCAAGTGTACTTTAAGCATCTTCTGGATAATAGTTCAGTAAATTTTTATAATCCATACTAAAAATGTTGCAAAGTATATTCCTTGTTGATAATAGGACAAAAATCACAGCAAATACAAAATGTAATACATCACATTATCTTTAGAAATCTTTAGACATTCAGGGAAAATGTTGAATAGTCTTTCGGATATGTCATATTGCTATTTATTTTTTAAAATGACAAAGACATCCATGAAATTGGTTATTTGGCAGAATATTGTGAGAACTAAGATGAGGGTTGATAAGGCTCATTTTATGGTAATACTAATATTTTTTCTTTTTCTTATACTTCCGGAACTTCTGGCTGTATTCACTTCCTCTATTTTCTGTGCTGCTGTCACTATCACTCGTTTGCTTTTGCCTCTTTCGTTTATTCATCTGGTAAAGGTCAGAGTCACTTGGTTGCTGATGAGTCCATTCGTAAGAGCTGGGGCCAGCCTCCAGGTCTGCGGCATGATCTAGAGAGGAAGACACCGAGGCAGTACTAGAAAGAGGAGCTGTCATCTCATAGTAAGGGAGCTGAGGCACTGGACTGTGCGCATACCATTGCTGTGAAAAGAAGACATCCATCTACCAAAACAAATCCAAAACATTAAAAAACAAACCCAACATATAACATAGGTCAGACAAACAGCTACAAGTAAACCAACATGTAATTTTGCATGGTAGTGATGTGGAAGTTTCCTTAAGTAGTTAACATAAAGATTCAACGTAGTGTACAGCTTGAGCCAATATAGATTGGCAGTAGCAGAAATAATTGAAAAAAATATATCTATACCCATAGTTTGAATACTTCCATTAGCTACAAAACAATGGTAGAAGGAAGCATCAAATATTGTCATTTTAATATGTAACTAATATGAAATTATGATAATAATTATCTTTAAATTTTTCATTTACTTATTTTGTCTTCAGTTCTGGTGTATATTTTAATATGTTTAGCACATTCTAATTTGGACGTTAAAAATTGGTTAAACGTGAAAGGAAAGTTGCAATTGAGCTGAAGATAGATTTTAAAATTTTAATTTGAATGAACTAAAATTATATAAGAATTAAAAACTCAACCTCAAAACTGTATACATGGTCCCATTGTTACTGGCTGTTAAAGCAATAGGGATGCTTCCTTTTCCCAAAAATAAGCTGTTACGTCAAATTTCTAACTACTCAAAGTAGATCAAAAGTTTAATTCCAGGAAAATTCCAGGAAAATTCCTTCTCTACTAAAAGGTACAAAATGCTAGGAAGAAGTCAGTGACAAGTTTCAGGTCGAAAATGTCTTTCTAAAAATATTTCTGTTTATTAGATTTTACTATAATTCAAAACACCAAAAAGGTTAACTATTATCTTACCAGAAAATTTGTTTAAACATTGAAAACAGCACTAAAAAAATGTAAAACTCATATCTATAAAATGAAGCGCTGAAGCAAAAATAAAAAAGAAGAAAGTTCTTGCTTAACAAGAAACCTTATTATGACTTCATTCTCTGATATAAGGCAACCTTCATGTAAAATACAAGATAAATAGATATATACTCACACACATATCTATGTATATATATATATATACGTATATATATATATATATAGACACATATACTCTCGTAGATGAGCTGTATAACAGAGACTAGCATACTGGGAAGTGAAGATACATTGCATGTATCTCTATTCGAAATGAAACTGTTTAGTATGTATCTCTATTCCAAATGAAACTGTTTAGTATACCTTGACAATAAAATCCTGGCCTTTACACCATTGCCTATATCCACAATGACATGATACACTTAAAACAGCAGAAGGTTGGAATTGTAAGATTTGCTGAAGGACTACACTATGACAATAATATAAGGAGAAAACAGTGGGAGAGGCAAGGTAAGAATAGAAGAGAGGAAGTGTGGAGAGGAATCCCTATATTGTATCATGGAAAATAACACAAATAAATTAATAAGTAATAATAATTAATACTTAATAATTAAATAATAATTATATAACCATATAATTATATATTTTATATTTATTAATTATATATTATATAATACAATTATATATATTATATTATATAATTATGCAATATAATAATTATATTATAATTTAATTAATAATTAAATAATAATTAATAATACAAATAACTTAATAATTGCAATTTCCTTGGGCAGGTGCTGCGATGCACACATTCCTTTCCTGGGGGATGTTCTGAGTTCTGCCTACTATACGCTTTCCATCCAGGTTCCTGTTTTGGGTACCTTAGAACCCCCCAATTGAGTTTCTGGTGCTGGCTTTGATCTGGCCAGGCCGTTGTGGCATTTGAGGAAGCAGCTGGCGGATGAAGCTCTCTCCTTTTCTCTCGTGTGCTTGTTTTTCTTTCTCTTTCTCTGATTGTCTCTCTTCCCCTCTCTCTGGATTTCTCTTTCTCTCTCTCTCCCTCAGCTTTTTATATACAAACATATAAAATTTTAAAAATAAGTAAACTTGTCTTTGAATTGTTTTTTTAGACCAGAACCAATTTTTGAGATTCATTTTAAGTTAAATCCAGAACTGGTGACACAATTTTGCCATTAGTTAAATATATATGTATATAATGAGTGTATATAATATATGTGTGTGTATATATATATATATATATATATACATATATATATATATTTGTTTTAAGTAATTCATGTCCAATAGCAGTCCATTTTGGTTGATGATAAAATGTAAAAAGACTTCAATAATGTTGAATTGTTAGATTCCAAAACCATCTTTTAGAGCTGTCACTGAAATGAGAATTCTCAAGTATCACTTGCACTACAATATAGAATCCCCGCCATCCGCCCCATTTCCACTGACGCACTGGCTGTTCGGTGAGGTACTGTATCTTGGGAATGAAGTGAATGGGTAGAGCAGTGCATCACTGAAGCACAGTGTTGGGGCATCATTCACGTTCATGGTAGATGAAGATTTGAGTAGCAGATATTATAAATAGTGATGGTGTTCATCAGAGTTTGCACCACATTATGTACTAGGTCAAAGGTATATCAAACTTACCATCTTTTGAAAGAAAACGGGCTCCTGAGACACAGCAGCATTGCTGATCGGGAAGAATGGCACCGGAAAGGATGATCTGCCCAGCGTTTCTTCACTCCTTTATGGAAGTAAAAGAACAAGCAACACAATCTTAAAACTCCTAAGTACAAATATCATTTTCTCTGGAGAAAAAAACTTTTCATCTGTCCAAGCAGAGACAGATTTTATTATATATAAAAAAGTTTTTTTATATAAAAAAGAGCATTTATTTAAGATTAAATGACTTTGATGTAACATACCAATACATTACATTGATAAGATGCCAACATAACAACATTTGGATTATTTACCTAATTTCTGGGTACTGGAATCTCAATATTAACAGCCACATTTGATGGGGAAAATGTTAGACAGTGCTGCATTTGTATTAAAATAATGAATACTAGTTATCAGTGGAGAAAACTGAATCATTAAGAATCACTAAAGGGACACTGATCTTTTCTAGTTTGCCAGACAGAATACTTTGAAGTTAATATTGCTTCAAGAAATCAGGCTTTGCAAACGTCTATAACAGTCTGAAAAGGCACAGAGGAGCTCTAAAAATAGTGAATAGTTTGACAGCCTCGTTTCAGAAGGCTTAGTTTCAAGGCTGGCATGGCATCCTCCATGTGACCTTGAGAACTGATTAACATTTGCATCCGTATGGATGTACTCCAATGTAAAATATGGATAAAAGTATTTCTATAATCCATCACAGTAAGACCTTGTATGCGTAAGTGATTTGGTAACTATGAAAAGCATATGAGAAACTATAAAGAACACAATGACTGTAAATCTCTCCTGCTTACCACTGAAAATATTGAGGATGAACTTTAAACCCAAGTATTTTTCTGTCATTTTTCATGAGTTCAGAAAACAATGAATTCCTTAATCTTATCCAATATCTAAATAGTAAAGCTTTATAATAGCTCAGGATATATATCAATATATCGATTTGTTTTACCTTTATTTAAAAATGAATTTTTAAAGTACCTGTAGCTATGTGAACATATCTTAGCACAGTTCTCAAAACTTTGGTTAGCTGGTTCAGAAGAGCGTGAACTTCCTTTAAAAGAGAAAAACACAGGACATTTTGTGGTGAGATTTTTGGTATTATAATAGAAAACTAATTAACTAAATTAAATCATTTAGGGTATAGGATTGATTTAAAATTAACAAAAGATGCATGCAAATTAGAGTTCTCGACTAGTGTTTTCTTACTGTTTATATTTCTATAAATGAATTGATTATAATCAAGTTTTATCCAATACAGTGGGCTAGTATAAGCGTCCACAAGAATTATGATAATCTGGGTCTATATGAATATAAGATACATGGAGTAGGCATGTTACCCATATGGCACAACGGTGGTGAAAACCTGTATTATTTGTGCAAAGTGCAGATCTGAATTCTCTACACTGCATACACAAAAACCAATTCCATTTTTTAAAGGATGGATTAGAATATAGTATGTCCTTACTGATTTCTACCAGCCCATTTGAATTAACCAGTCAGTACCAGACAGCATGATAGAATCAGACTTTTTTTTTTAGGCAAAGAAAAGCACTTTTTTTTTTTTTTGGCAGAAAGCATTGTTTTTATTGTTCTTACATGTGCTTTGTTTTGTTGTAATATAGCACGAGTAATGATAAGTAAGTGAGTGAAATACGCAAATAAGCCTGGACTATTGAGGGGAGATGGCGTAAGTATTACAAGGCACTAGCGGGACTGTTATCAGTCTCCCCAGATGTTAAAGAGTGGGTATCCCTATAACATTGTCAGGTCATGTGCTCACAGATGATCAGTTCCTGCCATGTGCTCAGGAGCAGGTGTCTGAGGCCACTCACGTCAGGCCACTCAGGCTACAGATGTTTTTACTGCTGCCTTTGGGTAACAGGTATAGGACTGCTTCCACAGAAGATGGAATCATACATCTATCTTATTTTCCAGATACCTGACATTTCGTATCATACATTAACAGACACAAACTATCAGCAGTCTTTTTATATAAATGCTAGAGTTGCGTATCCTAGATCATTTACATGTGTTCAATTTATAACAGCCAAGAGCAGCTATCAAAGCTACTTGCTGGCTGATACTAAAATGCAGCATTGTAAATTTTAATCTACAAGACATTATATAGTTGTAGCAAAGTATTTACAATATTAACTATGTAATATTATGAAATATATACATGAATTTACAGTATGTCACACACCATTATAAAATTATGTAATAGTATGTGTTCAGGGAAACTTGAACAGTGAGTGACCACAGAACGATCTTTTCGTTGGGGAGGGGTGGTGTCTTATGGAAAGCAAAAATGCCCAACTTTGGAGAACAGCAGCAACCACTACATACAGTTGAAGACTCAGCATTGATAGTACCTACCAAATCGATACTGTACGTTAATTGGCCTTCCATATAAACGAATTCCATTGAGCAATGCTATGGCATATGACACTGATTCACGGTGTTTAAAGCAGACAAATCCAAAAGACTTTGGCTTTCCTTCTCTGTCTTTGCATATAGTCACTTTGGTTAGTGGCCCAGCCTGTAAGAAACTTAAACATTATTTTCTCATAAAACCACCGATTATTTTTGTTTGTTTTACACTCAGACAAATCAAATGAATTCAATTTCACACCCAAATCAGCCCATTAGTAATAGTTTTATGAATTTTTGTCAATAAAGAATGAAAGTCTAGGTGATCAATCAAAATCGTAAAGGGAAGACATGCCACATTATTATCAGGGTTAATCAAAATAATTTCAAGTACCTTTAAATCTGAGGTTAAAATACTTCTCTGTCTGCAAATATGGTAGCATGTTTAATACAAAAATAAAATGGAATGATGAACCAATATTATTTATCCTTGAAAAGCTCCTGGCAAAACTGTATCATATTCCATTTAATTTATTTGCCAGAAGATACAAAAAAAACTTTATCAGAGAAACTAAATCTATCATATACTTTGATGTAATAATCCTCTTTGGTAAATAATCTCAAAACAAAACTATTTTAATATGTTTAAGATTTTAAGCAGTTATGACCAAAAAGAGTGAAATATTTGACTTTAAATGAAATGAATGGATACAGTTCTTGGTGTACAATTACAATGGGTTAAACTATCATAATTTCTCAATATCCAGCATGTATTGACAGAAAAGCCTAATACTGTAGAGAAGTGTTCATTCAACTGGGAAAAATATTACATCAGCATCATAAAAGCAGAATTTCTTACAAGGACCTAAACATAGCATGCAACAGTGTTTAAGTTGTAGAGGTGGATAAATGATTTTAAAGATTTATTTTATTTTAATTGGAAAGGAGGATATCCATAAAAGAGACACAGAGGAAGATCTTCAGTCTGATGATTCACTCCCCAAGTGAGCGCAACAGCAGGAGCTGAGTCAATCCGAAGCCAGGAGCCTCTTCTGGGTCTCCAACACAGGTGCAGGGTCCCAAAGCTTTGGGCCGTCCTCTACTGCTTTCCCAGGCCACAGGCAAGGAGCTGGATGGGAAGCAGAGCTGCCGGGATTAGAACTGGCGCCCATATGGGATCCCGGGCGTGCAAGGCGAGGACCTTTACCACTTGCGCCACCGCGCCGGGCCCGATAAATGTTTTTAAACTAAAAAAAGAAATAATAATAATAACAACAGTGTTTATGCCTCGCCAGGGACTAACTCATCCATCTTTCTGACCTCAACAAACAGATGTATCAACTGGGTGTTCCAGTACTTCAAACTCAACATACTTGAAATGAAATTAGTTATCTGTACCCTCCAAATCTGTACTCTAGACTTAAAGTTAAAATTACAATGATCATAAATATGAGTTTCTCTCTTCAAACAGTAGATCCACATTTGAAGGAAGCCAATAAAAGGTAAGTATAAAGGAACAATTATACATTTTCTTTCATTGAAAGGTGAGGGTGGGGGAGAGGGAGAGAAAAGGTGAAAGAGAATGAAAGGGAGAAAGAATGGGAAATGGAAGAGGAGGGGAAAGAGAGAAAAGGAGAGGAGAGGAGTAGAGAGAGCTTCCATTTGTGGGTTCATTGTCCAAACGCCGGTAAAAGGCAGAGGTCAGGCTGAGTTCCAGGAGTCAGGAATCAAACCGGACAGGCCAGGTGGCTGCTAGGGTTCAGGCACCAGAACCTTTCATTACTGCCCCCCCCCCAGGGTCTGGATTAGAGTTCTTGGGTTTCAGTCCAGGCTGTATATTCAACTCCACCTTCCTTCTATTGTGCCCTTTGGGAGACAGCAGGTGTCACGCCCAAGTCTGCCGTGCCTGTTCCCACATAGCAGACCTGGATTGAGTTCTTAGTTCCCATCTTCCACAGGGGCCAGCCCTGGCTGCTTGTGGGAGTTTGGGGATGTGAACCAGCTTGTGGGAGATGTATGGTTTCTCTGCCTTGCAAATAAATACTAACTTTAAAAAGCCCATGTATATATAAATATATAACTCAACAAGATTTGTTTACAGCAGCAATCATATCCACACAAAATGAAAAAAACAAACTTGTGAGACAGCTGTGTTTTGCTAGTTTTAAACCTTTCTGTAAGATACCTTACTTGAACAAATACTTCAACATGTAATTATTTCCTGATCCATTATATGTTATTTCCTTCCCTATTCTATGTGATTTAAATTTTGTTTAGGTGGAGATTATAAGAAATGGGAAGATAATACACAGGTAGGCTGTAGATCTACACAACTGGTTGTATTTAACCTTTACAGACTCCAAACATAGATTTGATATGAAGCCACCAAATCAGCAGTATGACCTCTCTCCTTTTTTGGAGACCCACAATGAAAAGTATTTCAGAAAAAAAATCTAAAAATTTTTACTTTGTTTACAGTAATAAGTTCCAACTGATGCTCAGTTTTAAAGAAATAACTTGAAGAGATTTCTTTTTTCTTTTTTCATAAAAGTCAAGGTTAAAATGTTAGTATGTTGGAAGGATAAACATAAAGAGACTTAAACCATATATTTTTAATAAGAAAATGTTTTACATCCAGGAGAGGAAATATTACTTTCCTTGAGAATTCTCTCTACCAAAATGTATGCATTAGTCCAACTCAATGTAATTCTTGTGCCGGTATGTGTTGGGAGAGATGTTAGTAAAATTTCTAGAGGTCGTTTGAAAGCTAATACAAAACCCCTTTTCTTTTCTACACAATTCTCTGGTACTCTAGAAGGTTAGATCTGCAACAAGCTCTACTGGAATTTTTCCTTGTTCTGATCAGAGGAAATCAGAATCTTGATTCCCACTGATGTCTGTGTTATCAATGATACAAATTGAGCATCATTAATCTGTAAATCCAACAGTTGCATTTCCAGAGTATTTCCAATTTCATATTTTTTGAATCATGAAGCTCAATTTGTTAAGCAAAAGCACCCCTCCTTTTGTAGTATCCGGGCTCCCAAACATCTTAGGATCTCAAACATTTCAGATAAGGGAAACTCCAGCTGCTCCTGCTGGTAGTGACAAAGGCGACAGGCTCAGCGTTCCCGGCTGTTTCACCCAGGCTGACTCCTGTATCCTCAGCACCAGCACATTTTCAATGTTAGTGCTCTCATTTGACATTTGCAGAAATTGGTCCAAAGTGACATCACCGACTTCAGAGCTCACACTCCAATCTAGAATCACGCACTCTTCCCTTTCGTAGATGATCGTCAACCAGGGTGATTAATGTTGCTTTTCTTCTGAGGACAATCAGGAGTGTGTGTTGAATTTGTGTGTCCAGATCTGAATTTACTTCTTGCCCTGCAATTTTGGATCATTAACCTAAACCGTCCTTTTGGCGAGACCTGGGGGTATACAATAGGTAAGTGTGTCTACAGGACTCTGGGAGCCTAACCCTGCAACGAGGCGTTCTCCTTAGAAGTTTCCCAAGGCCTTAATGTATGAAATCACGAGGGCCTTGGTCAGAGCCATGACAAATTGGCTGCCTCACCATCAAAAAACTCATTTAATCAGGCTACAATAAAAATATGCCGAGAAAAGTGTAAGGACTTATTCCACTATCCCACCCTGGACCCTGAGACATTCCTTCTTCCTCACTGCTCACGGAATTCGCGCCAGTCCAGCCATCCACCAATCAGACGTAACCTGGCATTCCACCTGAGAATCCCACCCCCAATCTCCCAGCCCCTTCCCCAAACCCGCCCACTCGCCAATCATCCCCAGGCATTCACCTGCAGGCACCAATCCCCTGAGGCCTTGACCTCAATCCCTCCCAATCCCCGCCACCCCCCCACCTGGCAGACAAAAAAAGGCCCCCAGGTGCGGTTCGCTTCTTCTTCTTTCTTCTTGCTCTCTTGTTCTCTCTTGCTCTCTCTTGCTCTCTCTCTTCCTCTCCTTGGTTCCTCTCCCCTGCTCTTACCTCCCTTCCCTCCCCTTCCCTGTTCCTGCCCCACTCGGTTCTCTCTCTCTCTCTCTCTTCTTCCTTGCTCTCCCCCTCCTCCCCCTTTCCCCTTCCCCTATTCCTGCCCCGCTGGAATAAACCTCCTAGGATAATGTCGTTGCGTCTGGTGTTTTCAGCTCACGGTAAAGAACCAGGTTGCGAGAATTAGCTGCGCGTAAAGTCTCTTAATATCCTATAACCTAGCACTAGAACTCTTACACTCTTTTAAATAACTAACATTTGGTGCCGTGACGGGTCGGTTTCCCCCGGCACTTGGCCACGTGGCCCTCGGGCCTTTGGCCACTACCGGGACCCGAACCGTGAGAACTGTGATCTGTGTTAACTGTCTTCATCTGCGCCACCGAGACTCGTCAGCAGCCATCAGAATCTGTCTCCATCCGCCCGATGGTTCGTGAATTCATCTCCAATGGCCTGTACCTGATTTTGCCTCTTCGGCCTGTTCCTGATTTCGCCTGCTGGTTCCAGAATTTTCTACCTCCGTGTGGCCGTTCCTGAGTTCATCTAACTTGACCGTGCTGGCATCTGCATCCATCCAGCAGCACCATTGCCCAGACGCGTGCTCCCCGGTACTCCATCTCCACATGGAGCACACGAGGTATTCCCCATCTTTCCGAATGCCAAGTTGTTGCATGCATACACTGTTGTAGATAGGGTTCCCTTCCTCAGCCCTTGGAGTTTTGGGTTTGGCTTGGCATATTTGTGCTCCTCCAAATAGGTCTGATTTTCCACTTCTGAGAGTTTTTGGGAGACCGGTTCTGTAAACCCCGGCCGAGTGCCGTGTCTCTTAGCCACTGGGCTGAAGTCCCCCGACCACTGGGTCACTCTGGGGGCCCCCCTGTCCCTCCGAGTCGGGCCACTGGGCTGTTAACGACTTCGGATACAGGTGGTGTTTGGGGACCTGGCTCGCCCCTTACGTAGGGGGTGACGACCTTCTAGGAGAGCCGTCTTCTCCTGACCACTGGGTCGTTTTTACGGACCACTGGGTCCACCTTGGTAAACCCCAGCCGGGTGCCGTGTCTCTTAGCCACTGGGCGGAAGTCCCCCGACCACTGGGTCACTCTGGGGGCCCCCCTGTCCCTCCGAGTCGGGCCACTGGGCTGTTTACGACTTCGGATACAGGTGGTGTTTTGG